AATCTTTAAAAAAAAAAAAAGGATAAAGGAATACTGAATTAACTTGACAGGGATTATCATTTCAAGAAATACGCTTACATAGAACATACGGTACATTTTAAAAATGTAGAATTTTATTCACCAATGACACTTCAAAAGACGGAAAATAAATTAAATTTGCTTTAGCTTGGGGAGACAAAAAGGCACACTTGCACCACACCCACCATTACTACACCCTGACCCACCCCACCGCCAAACAAGACACCCCTTTAGGAACTCCCACACACAAACTCATACCTGGGGTGGGAACAAATCATTGGCCCTAAAGGCCTCTTTTAAAAATGGAGACCTGGGGACGCCTGGGTGGCTCAGGCCATCGGGCATCTCAGTTCAGCTCAGGTGAAGATCTCAGGTGCGGGGAGCTTCCTGCTTCTCTCTCGTCCTCCCCCCGCCCCCCGCAAGTGCTCTCTCTCTCTCTCAAATACATAAAAATCTTTTTAAAAAACATGGAGATAATGGCCACATACACCCACACATTCTGCACACCAGGCAAAAATACATCAGTTCAACCCTGAGGCACCCACACATCAGCCACGAACACATCTGCACACGCACTCTGCAGTGAACTCCGACACGCGCACACACACTCGGGCCGGCAGGGCTCTCGGGGAGCCCGGGACCCCCCCTCGCTCGCGCAGGCACAGTCACGCATGCACGCACACCCGGGGACACGCACATCTGCAGAAGCAGGGCTTGGACCCTCTAAGACACCCCGCGGACACGCACGCGCCCTCTGGATGACACCCAGGGCCCACACTCAGCCCCACGGGTGGACCCACCCCGCCAGGGGTCCCCTCCCGGACGCACACACCCTCCAGGCTCCCAGCCCCCATCCCCAGCCGAGCACGCGCGCACACACACCATCGCTGGAGGCCCCAGAGCCGGTTTGCACGCGCCCTTCTCAACCGCCAGCGCTCAGACGCGTCCATCTCAGGAGTCCCCCTACCCACCCACCGGCCCAGCCCTCTCTGTCCGAGGCCTCCTGGGGAGGGGGTCTCTGGGGGCCCCCCACTGGTCCAGGAGACGCCCCCCTTCCCACCCCCTGCCCCATTCTGACTTCGGGGCGCCTCCAAATTCGTTCTCCTGTGTCCCAGCTGGCCGCGTGGGCCACTGTCTTCCCTGATCCCCAGGTGACCTCTCCACAGTCCCGGAGGCCCCCGAAGACCCTCCACCTCCGCCATCAGACTGCCATGAACCGTGGCCTGACCCTCCCGCCTCTTCAAGGCCTCTGCACCTGTCCCCAGGTCCCCAGGCCCTCAGGCCTGTCCTGGAGGGAGGCTGGACGGTCCCCTCTTGCGGGCCGGCCCCATCCTCCTCTGTCCCCTACGGTCTGCTCTGCTGCACTTGGCCCGAGAAAGCACGGGAGCTGGAGTCGCTAAGCCGTTCACAGGTGTCCAGAGAAGGGCTGCCCACCCGCAGAGGCGACACCTGGGTCCTGGGCTGGACTCTGAGGCACGCGTGCACACTGGTCTCAGCTTCACCCCTGCACTGCCTCTTGTCCCCACAGCCCGAAGGGGACACCTTCTGCCAAGGTCCTGCAGCCCCAACTCCCTGCGGCAGGGCCCCCTCCCCCGTTAGCAGTGCCGTCGACCCTCTGGGAGTGGCAGGGGCTGGACTGTGCTCTGGGCCGTGTCTGATTTAGGTACCAGTCCCCCGCCCCTGGGTGCTCTGCTCTGCTCTGCGCCCTGGCTTGCAGGGGCCAGGAGGGCTCACCAGCTGCCCAGGAACCTGGCTGGACCAAGACATCACCAACGAAGGGGCCCCAGGCACACCTCTCCCCTCTCCCCCCACCCCCACGCCCCACACGCTCAGGCACACATCCAAGAGATGAAGATGGTGCAGGAGACCGAGTGTGAGCACAGGATACTCGCGTTCATTCATTAAAACGGCCTGAGACAGAGTCTGGGCAGTTGATGGGCTGCCTACAATTTTATCGTTATTAGGGGCTGAGGGTCAGGGGGCCTCCCCCTCCACCTTCTCTCTGGCCCCAGCTGCCCTGCCTCCCTGGCCCTGCTGCCGGGGTCACAGAGAGGTCTCCCCACCCACACACACACCCCCAACCCGTCCCCGCCGCATACCCCCAAACACCCAAGCGACCTCCACCACAAGCCCAGCCCCTGGGCCTGGGCCTGGCCTTCCAGGGAAAGGCCACGCTCAGGCCTAGGGGAGATCCGCGGGCCACAGACGTCACGCTCGGGAGCAGCAGGGGCCCTGGCGCCTGGCTCCGGGGACCAGGGGGGGCTGGGCTATGGGGGCCGGCACAGGCAGGAGCATCAGACGCACCCCGACCCCCAGGCGCCAGCTGAGCCCCAAGAGCCTGGCGCATGCGCAGACGCACAGACGCGCACACTCCTGCGGGCCTACTTTCCAAAACTCTGACCCTCTCCTCCTGCCCGGGAAGCCTACTGGGAAAACAGACGCCCTCGGGCAAGTGCACACGCGCGTGCAGTCACACATGCACATGCTCGGCAGCCCCCTGGCGCACACAGGCTCACACACACGGAGACACGCGCGTCCGCGGACGCCCGGCCCAAATCTCCAGGTCCCCCTCCAGGGCTCGCAGACGCCCTGCTCTCACTCAGGGCCCCTCCCCCCCGGCCCCCCCCGCCCCCCCGGGCGCCCTTCTGGCTGTGCACCTGCGCTGTCTCCCGGCCCCCACACCAGGAGGGTGCGCTCACGCAGACTCACTGCAGGTTCCAAGGCTGCTTTGCCGGTGACTTGCTCTTCCTCGAGTCTTCACACGTGTTCTCTGTGGACGCCCCCGAAAGCAGCATTCCACCCCCGCCCCCGCCCAGGCTGGCGCTCCAGTCACCACCCCCCACCCCCACCCCCGCAAACCTCCCTCGGGACTCTCCCCCAAATTCCTTCTCCTGTGCCCCGGTGGCCACGTCCATAACTTTTTGCCCTGACTCCCAAGTGACCTGTCCAGTGTCTTGAATCCCCCCAGGCGTGCCCTTCCTCCCCCGCCACAGTAGCATGGAGGGTGCCCCCAGCCATCTCCTCTGGGCTGCTCCCAGTGTTGTGTGTCCCCTCCGGTCTTCTCTCCTGCAGGTGGCAGGAGGAATCCACGCAATTCAGGGTGGCCGGCAGCTGGGAAGTGGCCTGGAAAGTGCCAGCAATCCTCGGGATGAGTCTGTGGTCCTCTGCGGGGCTCCATGCCGCCCACACCCATGGCAGGTGCTCCTAGGCAGCTGGCTGGAGCCCCTGCGACCCTGAGAGCAGGGTTCCTGCTCTGCGGGGCCTCCGCTGCCTCCACCAAGACCCCTGTGTGCTTCCCGAAGAGGCTGGGGATCCTGATCAATCCTGATTCCTATCCGGATCCTGATCCTCATCTGGAGCTCGCTGCCACCCGGCCGGCCCCAGATCAGCACCCCCGCCCTGAGCACAGCGCGGGGGTCCCTTCAGAGCAGGGCAGCAACCACAGACTGTCCTTCCAGGTCCCAGTCCCCAGTCTGACTTGGCTCCTGCTTTCCCGCCGAGCAGGGGCGGGGCGGGCGGCTCAGAGCCTCTCTGGTTGCCTGCCTAGGGCCCCCTCACCACACACAGGCCCAGAGACTGCCCCAGACAAAGAGTGTGTGAAAAGAACGTGCTCTCACAAAGCTCAGGGACACTCCCCACCCCCACCGCCCCTGTTTGCGCTCCCAGGGCAAGCGATTCAAGCAGGGCCAGAGAAGGACATGGGCCGTCCTGGTGCTGGCAATGTGACTGTGTTCACAGGTGGAGGGGCAGGAGGCCTCTTCCCCACCTCCCCTCTGGCCCCCACTTTCCCCGGAGCCCTGTCCAGGCGCCTGGGGTCTTCTAGGGCACCAACGTAGAGGGGCTCTCCCCCCACCCTACCCCAAGACGCCAGCCCCGAGGCCTGGCGCGGGCCTTCCAGACACAGGCCAATCCCTGCTCAGAGAGGGGATGCCAAGGTTGCAGCCCTCATGCCTGCTAGCTGCGCTCTGGCGAGGCTCCCGCTGCTACCCGACCGGGGGTGCTTGCGTGCAGGGCTGGCCCACGGTGACCCCAGCACAGCGCAACCCTCTCAGGCATTCGCAGACACAACAGCACTCTATCAAACGTTCAGAATCACGCCCTCGGCTCACAGGCCTACTTGCAAGAATGAAGACCCACAGACATCCAGGAATGTGCAGGAACACATCCACCTGCTCAGCCACACGCAGGACACACACACACACAGGCCACCGTTACCTCTAGCTTTGGTGAGGACATCAGCCCTGTCAGGTGTCTCCATGCCTGTACTCACTCTCCCCCTCCAGCCAGAGGGATTGTTTGTTCCTCCTTGTTAAAGTCCTCTTCAAAAGTGACACATCCTCACTACAATCACCCCAAGAAAAAATTGATAAATCGAATAGTTCTCCTAATCCCTCCACCAATATTGCAGCCTTACTGGTATTGATTCAGAGTCTGTGGGGGAAAGACTCTCTCTCTCTCCCCTAGGGTGGGCCTCTGGGACCTCCGGTAGCCGTGCTTCCGGGTTGGTAGAGAACGTTCCTGTTTGCTGAAAGGACAAGGCAAAGATTTGCAGAGAGGACCAGAGATGAGGGATGTGCCATGGGGTCCTGTCTGCATCACGTTCTCCATTCCAATCCCTAAGTTAAAGGTAACTTCGAGCAAGGAAGCTTCCCTGGTGTGTGAGCCAATACATTCCTTTTGTTGATGTTGTTTTCATTTAAGCTAGTGTGAGTTGGGTTCCTGTTATTTGCAACCAGGAATGTAGTGAGTATGTTCAGACACATTCTTCCCTTATCCTGGAGGGATCTCCTCAACTCCTCCTGCCTCCACAAATGTCTCGCAGACAAAAACAACCCGAAGAATGAGTATCTGCCACAGGTACTCCTTCCCAAACCACCCAGCCCTACTCCTGAGATAATTTCCAGGAGGATGCAGCCACATGGCCAAAGATGAGTCCCTCTTTTTTTTTTTTTTTTAAAGATTTTATTTATTTATCTGAGAGAGAGAAAGAGAGAGAGATAGAGTGTGTGTGTAAGCACAAGGAGGGGGAGGGGCAGAGGAAGTGGGAGAAGCAGACTCCCCACTGAGCAGAGAGCCCAACCTGGGGCTCAATCCCAGGATACTGGGATCCGGGATCAGGACCTGAGCTTAAGGCAGACACTTAACCAGCTGAGCCACCCAGGTGCCCCAGATGGCTCCCTCTTAAAGCCCCAGCAGAGTTCTTGGAGATCCTCCATCCTCACCCTTAGTCTATCTCCTAGTGCTGGGAAGGAAATGTTCTGGGGGTCATGAAAGCAATCTAGAGAACCTGGGTCTGTCTATCCACCAAGCTGCTCTGGGAGCAAGCACAAAGTCACGCCCTGAACATGGTGGCGCTCTCCACTTTCTGCTTTCTGATAAATTCTCCAACGGTGATGCCAACCACTGACCCACTTGGAGGCCTTAGATGTCTGACCTCTCAAAAAGGAGGCAATATGTTACATTGTCCTGTCACCAAGTCAGGGCTTTTCAAGCTGGGGGTTGCACCCCATGTTGGTTGGTGAAATCGATTTAGAAAGTTGTGACCAGCACTTTTTTTTTTTTAATAAAGATTTTATTTATTTATTTGACAGACAGAGAGCACAAGCAGGGGGAGCGGCAGGCAGAGGCAGAGGGACAAGCAGGCTCCCCACTGAGCAGTGAGCCCGATGCGGGGCTCGATCCCAGGACCCCGGGATCATGACCTGAGCCGAAGGCAGATGCTTAACCATCTGAGCCACCCAGGTGCCCCTGTGACCAGCACTTTTTAAGTGAAAGAGGATTGGTGTGTGCACACAATAAGGGTAAGTAGTGTTGCTTTAAACTTATCCTTCACGTATGCACAAACATACGTTCACACACACATAGAAAATACACACACATGCGCTGTACTGCAATACAGAATGTCTTTCACACTCTGAGTCCTAGTCACAAAAGTTGGAGGGTTTATCTCTTCCTTTGCTAACCACTCCCACGCTTCACCCTTATTCATTTCAATTTGTCAGCTCTTCAGAGCAGGAATCAGTCAACTTTTTTGCCAAGGGTCTCAGAGCAAATATTTTAGGCTAATGGACCATCCGGTCTCTGTTGTAATTACCTGGCTTTGCGTGGAAGCAGTCATAGACAATACGTGGCTGTGTGCCAATAAAACTTTATTTACAAAAACAGGCCACGGGCTGGGTTGGTCCTAGTTTGCCCACCCCTGATCTAGAGTCTCCTCTGTGCCCGCTCCTGCCATAGGTAAAGCCAAGCTGCTCTCTGCCCAAAACGGCAGTCTGAACAGAAATGTAAACACCTATACTTTTTCTTAAAGATACATTTTGTGAAAATTCAAATGACATGAATTCGAAAGCATGGAATATAAAAATAGCAGGACAGATCTTGATTAATGTGCAAAATATGAAATAATCTTAAAAAAAAAAAAAAAAAAAAAGCTTTCCTGAGCCTCATTTTCTCAGCTATAACACGGGATGATATCCGTTCCTATTTTATAGGACTCCAGAGAGAATTCCAGGAGGCTGTGTAAAGTGCTCAACACCATGTGCGGCAGGTGAGGGGCTCAGGAAATGTTGGCACTTACCAGTAGCATTTTCAGCGATCTACTGGCTGTTCTGCTCCAGACAGAAGGGGATGTCCTGCGAGCAGGATGCTGCCCAGCCTTGAGACATCAGAGTGCCCACAGAACCATCCGTGGGGGCCAACATAGTCTCAAAAGCGATTCATGGAGCACTACATTTGGCTGTGCTGCCTCCCATCTCTGGCGGCTGAACCCCACACTCACTTTCTCGGGGCTATGCTGCATGACAATTTTGATAAGAGATCCAAGCCAGGGCCCAACCAGAACCTTCTGCAACAATGGATACGCTCTCTTATCTGTGCTGTCTGATTCGGCGCCCGCCGGCGAGTTTGGCCACTGAATCCTGGCTGGGTGCAGCTGAGAAAACATTTTACCTTTTACTTATGTTTGGTTCATTTAAATGTAAATAGCCACACACCATTTAGTGGTTACTGTAGTGGACCACGCAGAAAACTATTCCTGAATTTCTTCTCAAATTTAGTTGCTCATAGTGCCGCTACTGATATTTGGGGCCGGAATGTTCCTTGTAGACGGAGGCGTCTGGCGCATCATAGGGTTCAGAGGATTCTTGGCCTCTATCCATTACTGCCAGTGGCCCCAACAGGCTGGGACAACCGAAAATATCCCCAGGCACTCCCCAAACGTCTCAGGTGGGGGCCACGTAGAGGGGTCCCCTGAATGAGGACCCCTGGTTGGCTAGGGCACCTCTGATGAGAGGCGCAGGGAATCTCCACTCACACAGTTTGCGTCTGTCATTGCGACTTCTCTGGGGATTACGGAGGCGTGGGTCCTGGCTGAAGGCTCCCTCACACAGGGAGCTCACTGTCCCTTCCTAGCATGCACTTTCTGGTGGAGCACCAGGGACGAGAGCTGCTTGAAGGCCCTCCCACACTTGGGGCATGGGTGCAGTTTCCCTGTGGTGTGGATTTTGCGGTGATTGGTAAGGGTAGAGCTGTCGGTGAAAGCTTTCCCACACTCAGAGCACACGTAAGGCTTCTGTCCGGCATGCATCCTCTGGTGTCTCTGAATGCTTGACTTGCACCGCAAGGCCTTCCCGCATCCCTCACACTGGTAAGTGTGATTCTCTCTGTGGCTTTTCTGATGCTTGAGAAGGGCCGCCCTGCGCCGGAAGGTCCTCCCACACTCCCGGCATTGCTCTGGGGGCCCCAGCTGGTGAACCCTCCTATGTTCCGACAGGTGGGAGCTATTCCGGAAGTATTTTCCACACTGCTCACACTGATAGGACTTCTCCTCCTGATGAATCCGGTGGTGCTCGAAAAGGTGAGAGTTGCATCTGAAGGCTTTCCCACACACTTTGCAGTGGTACGGCTTCTCTCCCGTGTGGATTCTCTTGTGCTCCGTCAAGGAGGAGCTGCGGCCAAAGGACTTCTCACACTCACTGCACCGGTAGGGCTTCTCCCCAGTGTGCACCCTCCGGTGACGAGTGAGCTTCGTGCTCTGCTTGAAGGTTTTCCCACACTCCTCACATTTGAAGGGCTTCTCCCCCGTGTGGGTCCTGTGGTGGCTGCTCAGTGTGGAGCTGCTGTTGAAGGCTTTCCCGCACTCCTTACACTTGTAGGGTCTCTCTCCGGTGTGAATCCTATAGTGAGTGAAAAAGTAGGAGCTGTGCCGGAAGGACTTCCCACATGCGTCACATTTGTGGGGCTTCTCTCCCGTGTGGATCCGCTCGTGCTCGATGAGGTGGAGGGTCTGGTTGAAAGTTTTCCCACATTCTTTACATTTAAAGTGTGCCTTCCCCCTTTGGATTCTTGGACGACCATGCCTTGGGAAGCCTGGCGCCTGTGTTTTTCCATTAATATCTCTTTTCAGGGTCGTCTTTCCTCGAGGGGTGCTCTGTGATGTTGTTGGTGGTGGTGGACGACCCGGGCATCTCGTCATGGCCGTGGATTCATGCCTTTTCTTTCTAGGGAGAATTTTTTTGCACGAGTCTGCGGCCAGCCTGGGGCCAGCTTTTTGCGTGCTCCTCAGTGGCCTGTCCTCAGTTTCCAAAGTCCTTTCCATCTTAGCACCCCTCTGAGCCATTTCCTTTGCCTTCCCCAGGGATGGCCTCGTAGAGATGCCTGGCTTTGGAAGTGTGGTCTTCAGCACAAGCCTTGTCTTCTTGTCTGAAAGGGATTCAGAATGTAAATCTCTCTCTTTTTTAGTGCCATTGTCTTTATCTTTGGTTGAAAATGTTTTGTCTCAGTATAAAATACATACAAAAAAAGCACACAAATCATAAGTGCATGGTGTGATTAGAATTCACATCATGCCACCAAAAAAAAAAAAAAGGTAATTATGTGAGGGGACGAAGGTGTTCTCTAACTTTATTGCCATAATCATTTCGTTATATATACATGTATCAAACTACCATGTTACGCACCTTAAGTCTACACAATGTTATATCACAATAAGCTCACACAACTCTATCCTAATAAGGATAGAAAAAGAAAAGACAGCCAGTTCAAATGAAATGGAAATAAAGAAGGAAAAAGAATCAATGCAGAAATGAGTTGGCACAGAAAATAGAAAAAAAAAAAATCCTATATCAGAATAATTACTTAAGAGATGAGTAATGAAATGTCCCAGAAATAAATCAAGAGTTGATCTATAGATTGAAGGGAAAAGTGATACAGAATGTTCCGTACTAAATGTAACTGTTTTATAAGCTATCATTTATAGTCTGTGAACCCTGCGCGAGCCGGCGACCATGCATTACCCCAGAAGCATGGTCAGTTCTTAATGTTCCCTTATCACTAAAATGATGTGATTCTCTCCGTAAATAAGTAGAGTAACATATTTTTGTGAGTCTAGCTAGGGGAAAAGAGAGAATTCACAAGGTGAACACATTCACGTGTCCAGCGCAAAGATTAAGATTAAGAAACAGAACCCTAGAAGCACCCTCCCCAACTCCAGCCCTCCGTCCGTTCCCTCCAATGACCCTCTCCCTCTCGGAAAATCGAGACCCTGACCTCCAGTAGCGTAGACTGGCTTTGGCTCCTTTTGTACATTATATAAATTCAACCTTACAGCATGCACCCTTTGGTGTCTGGCTTCTTTCACTCAGCTGTTCTGTCTATGAGATTCATCTGGATTGTTGCGTGCAGTCGCAAGTCATTCATTCGCGTTGCTTATAGGGTCCCATAATGTGACTATACCACAACGTGTTTAACTTTTTTATTGTTGATACGCATTTAGGGAGTTCCCACTTTGGGACTATTAAGAATTGAGCTGCTATGAACATCCCCTGCTCAGTGGGGAGTCTGCTTCTCCCTCTCCCTCTGCCACTCCCCCTGCTTGTGCTCTCTCTCTCTCTCTCTGTCAAATGAATAAATAAAATCTTTAAAAAAACTGAAACTGGGGAAATAAAAGCTGGAATGAGAAACAGGCTTACTATTATTATTATTTTAATGAAAACACCTGGTTACTCTTTGGTTTTTTTTTTTTTTTTAAAGATTTTATTTATTTATTTGAGAGAGAGAGAGCACAAGCAGGGGGAGTGGCAGAGGGAGAGGGAGAAGCAGACTCCCAGCTGAGCAGAGAGCCAGATATGGGCCTCAATCCCAAGACCCTGGGATCATGACCCCAGCCGAAGGCAGAAGCTTAACCAATTGAGCCACCCAGGCGCCCCTCTATTTGGGATTCTTATTAAATCCATGTATTATCTTTATTTTTAAAGTTTTATTTATTTATTTTAGAGAGAGCGAGTGCTCGAGAGCGCACGGTGGGGAGGGGCAGAGGGGGAAGGAGAGAGAAACTCTAAGCAGACTCCGCGTTCAGCATGGGGCTTGATCCCAGGACCGGTGATCATGACCTGAGTGAAACCAAGAGTCAGTTGCTTAACTGACTGAGCCACCCAGGCGCCCCTTAATTCCGTGTATTATCTTAAAGGAAAAACTCTCTCTCAATTCTCCTATATTCTTGAGGTTCAGATGCTGATGGGGGATAGTTTTGCTGCCCCAGAAACATGCTGTTGTTTTTCCAAGTCAACAGAGGGCTACCCAGGGTTGATAATCTTAAGGATTTAAGTCCAGTGCCAGACCAGCCTGCACCAAAGAACTGCTGTGAACATCTTTTTAACCACGAAGACATCGACACATGCATACAAGGAGGAAAGTGAACAGATGCTCGCTGAAGCAATCAGGGAAAAACCCCGGGGAGGGGACTGAGGGCAGAGCCAGCAGCCAGTGCAAAGGCCCTGAGTTAGGGTGTCAGTTGATGGCAGCCCGAGTCTGATACGGAGGATGTGGCGAAGGAAGGAGTGCGGGAATGAGATCCCAAGAGGCCAGAAGAATGGAAAGGTGTTCCTGGAAGGGAACATGCCCTGCAGGCTTCTTCCTTCTCCTTACACCACTCAGCATGCTGCGCCTTTGGGGAGAATTTCTCGTGGAGACTGCCATGGCGTCTCCCCCTACTCACCTGTGGAGATGCAGCTCTCGCTGATCCCAGCACCGCCTTGCTGGGGGGCTCGAGGGACGTCTCTCTCCTTGACACAGGGCTCATCTCCTTGCTCTAACCTGGCGATCAGCTTGGGTTTGAAGAGCCGATACCCTGCTCCAGAGAAGGAAAGAAGTGCTGGATGCCTCCCAGACACCCATTCCAGACCAAGAATTTGCACAGAGAGAAGAAGTGTGTTTATGTTCTGCTCGCAATTCCAGAGTGTGGGTTTCCTACACACACACACACACACACACACACATCCCAAGCAATTCTCTCCAACACAGCTGGGGTCCTAAAATTCAACTCAATTCTGACACTACCTGGAGGTAGGGTTGCACCCCACAGGTTCCCACAAGACTGACACCCCGCCCCCTAAATTCAGACACCAATCACAAATCCAAGTTGTCACCTGTCCCTCTGACTGACAGGCTATGGATTGGAGGTTGCAACCCACCCCCTTCTTGGGTTTGATGAATTTGCTAGAGGACCTCACAGAACTCAGAGAAACGTCTTATTCACCAGATCACTGGTTTGTTATAAAAGGATATAACTCAGGAACAGGAGGTGGAAGAGATGTCCAGGGCCAGGTGTGGAGAAAGGGTGTGGGACGTCCATGCCCTCTGACGCCACCCCTCCCCCCAGATCTCCACTTGCTCACCATCCCGGAAGCTCTGTCCTTTGGGGGTTTTGTGGAGGCTTAATTACACAGACATAGTTGATTAAATCATTGGCCATTGGTGACTGATTCAGCCTCCAGTCCCTCTCCCCTCTCCAGAGGTCGGGGGCGTGAGACTGAATGTTGGCTCCCCTGGTAACCAGTCCTCATCCTGAGGCGTTATCCCAAAGTCACCTCATTAACATAGCGAAAGACACCTTTATTCCTCTCACCAGTTCAGAAATTCAAAAGGTTTTAGGAGTTCTGTGCTAGAAACAGGAGGGAGACCAAATATATATTTCTCATTCTAAATGACAGTATCGCAATGATACAAAGGACCTCCGGAGGGAGCGTAGGGCGACTGCCTTGCCAGCTTCCCCCTCCCCATCACACCAGCACGAAGTTCTATGGAGGGGTAGCCCCATGATCCCCAGAAGCCAGAGCCCGCCCTCGAAGAGCACGACAGCCCATTAGCCTCTTCCTGTTGCACTGGCCACTGCGAGTGGCTTAGCTGTGCTCACGTGACCGAAGCCAGCTCCAGTCGGAGCAAAAGTCAGACTTTAGGACGGAACACCCAGGGCCGACCTTGCGACCATTTCGGTTGCCAGTGAATTACAACGCCGGTGCCTCCGAGGCTGCTTGCAGCTGTCCTGAGACCGCGAAAGCAGACGCGGGTTTAGAGGGAAGCCAATACCACCAAACCTTAGTGCGCAGGACCAGTCCTAGGGCGGAGCTCGTCCAAGGCTTCCGAACTGGGGGGGCGCTGTCCTTACCCAAGGAGGCCAGGTTCCCATAGTTCTCCAGCATCACCTCTCTGTACAGGTCCTTCTGAGCGGGCTCCAGCAGCTGCCACTCCTTCTGGGTGAAGTACATGGCCACATCCCTGAAGATCACAGGTTCCTGAAACCCAAAGCCCCGTTGGTATTCACCCAGGGCCTGGTCCTTCACTTGGCCCAGGACAGTAGGTGGAAAGCCGACAGAAGTTTGGGTTGTGTTCAGAGTCCTGTGTTGTGTCAGCTTGCAAATAAGGCCTGGGCTCCTTCACCCTGCCCCACATCCACACCCTCTGCTATGGGGCTGTGCAGTGCGCTCCTGTTCCGAATCTTCGCTTGGCCATGGAACTTGCTGTGGCCAGTGGGGTGTCGGCCAAGTGTGACAGAAGCAGGAGCTTCAGAAATGCTTCTGCAATCAGCACTGCCTTCTGTCTCGTGCCTCTCCCGCCCCCAGGGTGAGGCTCTGCCCAGCTAGCCTCGGGATGGTGCAAGATAGTAGAGCAGTGCCGAGTCACCCCAGTCCTCTGAGAAAAGGCACCGCAGGCGGGCTGACAAGCCAGAGTCCACCCGGCACGTGAAGGAGCCCCAACACCGGAGAGCCACACAGCCAGACCCTCATGGCTGTGCGCTCCTGACCGTCCATGCGTGGTGGTGGTGTTCACACAGCATTCTTTTGGCCACGGAGCACACTCGGAGTGTTCATGTGTTATGTGAAGGCATGAACAAAGGGATGCTATGAATGTTGGAAGCGGCCCTTTCACTCGCCAGTTGGATGGCCACCTGGGGATCTCTGTTTCCACTGAGGTGCATCGATACCATGACGGCTAAGAGCATCGGCTCTGGGGCCAGACCGCCTGGGCTCGAATCTTGGCTTGGCTACTTAGGATCTGTGTGACCTTAGGCAAGTGACGTGAACTCTGTGCCCCCATTCTCTTATCTTAAAAACGGGGATAATACGGTACCACGTCCTGGAGTTGTGAGGATTAGGTGGATGAAAATAGGTAAAGAAATTAGCTCCGCTCCTCGTACATGCTCAGTGCTCAAGAAATGTCTGTTATTCTAAAATTTGTTTAAAAGGGGAGGGGATTCTAGCCAATGGGAGGGAGAGTGCAGGCCTGGAGAGTAGCTTTATTCACTCACGCACTCATCACGGCCTGGCTCTGGATAGGCTAACATAACAGACCAGGTCAGTGCTGGACACAGTACCCATTTTCCTTTGCCATAATAACGGAAGCTACAGGTGAGCCCACGCTTGCACAGCCAGAGTACCTTTCCCAGCATCCCTTGCAGTGGGGTGCGGTCATGTGACCACACTCTGGCCAATGAGGTGCGAGCAGAAGAGCCGCGTGCGGCTTCTGCGCGTTGGCCTTTGAGAGACTAAGCACGTGTTCCCCTTGGGGCGCCCCTGAATGTGGACGGGCCACGTGGGGCCGAGGCGCATTGTCCACACACACTGTCATCGTGAGGAATGAGTAATGTTTGAGTGAAGCAGCTGTGTTTTGGGCTGTCATGTTCCAGTAACCAGACCTATGTGGTGGGGGGGCTCCAGCTGCGGGCGGGAGTGCAGAGGGTGACGGGTGCAGCAGAGGGGCACAGGTGTGGAGGACCGCAGGTGCAGAGGGGCGCAGGTGCAGAGGGGCGCAGGTGCAGAGGGGCGCAGGTGCAGAGGAGTGCAGGTGCGGAGCGGCACAGGAGCACGGGTGCAGAGGGGTACAGGTGCGGAGGGGCGCAGGTGCAGAGGGGCGCAGGTGCAGAGGGCCGCAGGTGCAGAGGGGGCGCAGATGCAGAGGGGCGCAGGTGCACAGGTGCGGAGGGCCGCAGGTGAAGAGGGGTGCAGGGGCCGTGGCCGCAGAGAACGCCCAGAAGGCACGGGGGATGCGCACCCGCGTGCATTTCCCAAAATGCTGGGAAAGGCTGGGAGGGGAAGGCCCTGCAGAGCATTGCCACAGTGTGCAAGGAGGAGCTGAAGCAAGGGAAGCAGCTGGAAGGGGAGAGAGCAGAGCAGACAGGGGACAGTGTTCGCTCCCGGAGTGGGGTCCGCGCCCCTCAGCGTGGGGGCCGGACAGAGGGCTCTGCCTCCTGCCTGGCGGCACGCCGGCTGGGGACTTGCCTTCTGGCGCCTCAGTCTCCGCATCTGTAAAATGGTCAGGATAAAGAGTAGTGCTGCCTCCTGGCGGGGGAGTGTGAGCGTTCAACGGGACAGTCCAAAAACAGAATCCGTGACAGCACGCGGCGCTTTAGTAAGGGCCGGAACCTCAGCTGCTACAACTCTTGCCTCAGCCGGTTTCTTAAAACTATCTGCTTTCATGCAAATGTAAACGCTGCTTTTCCAACAGGAAACAGCCCGCCTCGGTGTGCACAGCTGTAGCAGTTTCTGGTAGGGCTGTGACCTCTAGCACTTTCCTCCCCTGCCGGCCTGACCGGTCATTGTCCCATTTCGTCCTCAGGAGGTAGCCTCCGTGCTTTCTGTATTCTACAGACGAGGAGACAGGGCCAGAAAGCACCAGTAACTTGCCCCGCTCGTTATGATGAGGCACAGAGTTGGGGGGATATGGGGGTGTCAAGTAGAGATGCCAACATACCCTTCTCGGGGGACAGGAATCTGCCACCATTCATGTTACAAACCCTTACAGGCCAGGCGCTTTCTAAAAACAGCACAGATGCGAGTTCATTCACTCTTCAGAATAGCCCCTGGACCATGGTAAACCTTGTAGCCCCATTTTACAGATGAGCAAACTGCAGTGGGCCCGGAGTTGTTCCGGAACTAGTCCCAGGTCCCATAACTGCGAGTGGCTGAGGGGGGATGTGACCCTGCAGTCAGACTCCGAGTTTTCGCCCTCCGCTGCGCCAGGCTGGCGTTCACAGCTGTGAGGCACAGAAGGGCCACGAGGGTGGTGCCTGCACTTAATGCCCCTTTCTTTGCAAAAGCAGCCCATCCCTATTCCGGGGTTTCTCGGCTCTGCACAGGTGAGATCTGGGGGCCAGATCATTGTTTGCTGTGGATTGCAGGATGCTGAGCGGCGTCCCTGGCCTCCACCCACCCCTCCAGGGCTGACACCCAAACACGGTTTCAGCCACTGCCAGTGTCACTATCTTGTCCCAGCCTTCTGTTCTCGTGGTTGCGTCACACAGCAATAACTACTCTGAAGAAAATTAAGCAAGGCAAGGCGTTATGGAGTGATGAGGAGGAAGTGAGCAGGGAGTCTTCCTGGAGGAGGTGACATTCCAGCGGAGGTAGAAATTAGGGAAGAGAAGAAGGCAGGAAAGAGGCCCAGGAAAACCATCCCCCATGGGATGGGGCCATAGCCTTTTGTGGGGGTGCAAGGGGGGCCCTGCCACCCGAGGGTCTCTGCCGGGCAGAGAGGGTGGCAGATGCGCCTGACCTCTCAGAACTGAGGGGCCCTCTGGTCAAAGGGAGAAGGCTTACCGTGCTCCAGACCGGCAGGAATCTGACTGGCATTCTTCCCTTCTTTTTGGAGAGCTTCTCTGAAGTAGGAGCAGGGCTCTGAGAAGGCAGGACTGGGAAGGAAGAAGGAGTAATGAGGTCATTCTGCCCTCTGTGGGTAGGGAAACTCAATAAAATCCCAATAATGAAACCCACAAGAGCTAACATGGATCAAGACTTGCTGTGTGCCAGGCTGTCTTCTAAATACTACACAGGTATCACCTTATTTGGTTTTTCATAATAACACTACAAGATGGCTACCATCATCATCCCACTTTACAGATGAGAACCCGGGCACAGAGAGGTTAAGATATTTGCTCAAGGTTGCACAGGGGTGCCCTAAGACATGTGTTAAACTGCATCCCAAGGGTCAAAAGGGAACAGGCAGGAAATGTCAGTGAGTGAAGGGGTTGGGGTAAGACAATGGGGGCACTGGAGTCTGTGGTAGACTAGAACTCCCAGGATCTCAAATACTCACATTTGAGAGAGGCAGAGAGACCAAAACCAAATCAGTACACTAGAAAATACCAGAGAGTGACAGACATAGTGACAAAAATAAACTAGGTTGGAATGAAGGCAAATCCCTGGATGCTGATGACTTTGTTTTGACCTTCATTTTGAAAAGGAGATGGCCAAGTGAGCATATGATGGGAGAACATTCTTGGGCAGGGAAACAGCACGTGCAAAGGCCCTGAGGTGGGATGTTAAAGGCAAAGCTAGGAGGCCAGGGTGACCGGAGTCTGTTGAATTGGAGGGAGAGATGGGTATGATGAAGGCAGGCCAGCAGGGTCCCATCCCTCGGGGCCACCAGGGCCCCTATACAGAGTTTGTATCATTCTCCAGCTTGAGAGGTCTGACAGGACCTGATCCTCATTTTTATAAGATTCCTTGGCCTGCTCAACGGGGAACAGTTTGGTGGAGGCAGGAGTGGAAGACAGGATACCACTTGCCACAGAGCAACAGTGGTTTGGGCCACGTTTCTTCCTGGATCAGAGTTTGTGGGTAATTTCCTGAGGATATGAGGGAAAGTGGTTTCTTAGATTTTAAAACACAACATCCCAACACATCTTGTTTGTCTGGCTGATCTGTTGGTGAACGATCGCACTCCTGAGCATTTCTGCCAGCAAAATGAAAACACACATTCACGCAAAAACCTCTACTCGCAATAGCCAGCAACTGGAAACAACCCTGATATCCCTTCAGGGGATAGCTACGTCACGGAACCCCACTGAGCAATAAAGAGGGATGAAGTGAGGGTGCCCACAGCAGCCCGGATCGCTTTCCGGGGCACTGTGCCAAGGGGGGAAAAGTGAATCTCAGAAGGTCACCAGCTGCATGGTTCTGTTGATACAAGGTTCTCAAAATGACAGAATCACAGAGATGGAGAGGATTTGTCACAGCCACATGGGGGAGGGGGAGGGACAGTGAAGGGGGCAGCTCTAGGGAGATCTCTGTGGTGACAGAACAGTTCTGTATGTTGATTGGGGTGATGGTCACACTCAGCGACAAATGTGAGAACCTGACCCTAAAAAATACACATGCATTGGGTCAGGATGTATTTCCTCGTTCAGCGTTGTACTCTCACTGCTTAAGACATGACCATTTGGGGAAATGGGATGAAGGTCCATGGGACCTCTCTACTATTATGGCAACTTCCAGTGAATATAAATTATTTCCACATAAAAAGTGGTTTTTTAAAAAGACTTTATTTGAGAGACAGAGCGTGAGAGAGAGAGAGATTACAAGCTGGGGGAGTGGCAGGCAGAGGGAGAAGCAGGCTCCTTGCTGAGCAGAGAGCCCGATGCGGGGCTCCATCCCAGGAGCCTGGGATCATGACCTGAGCTGAAGGCAGACGCTTACCCAGGCGCCCTACACATAAAAAGGCTTAAAACAGGAAGCATCCCGGCAAACCCAACAGCCCTCCCTCATCCAGTCAAGCCGCCAGCAGGACCCCAAACTGGCCCACTCCTGCCCATTCCCTCCACCATCTCCTTGGGTTGGACCTCCATCATCTCCCACCTAGGTGACTCTGTGGCCCCCTGAATGGGCAACTGATTGCAGGGTCACAATGAGGAGCCCAGGTTGCTTCTGGCTCCCCGAAGACACCCCTGCAGGCTCCGAGCAGAGGAGGGTCAGGATCCACTGACATGATGTTGTGTCGGGGAGAATCCATCCTGGGGGCCCCTCTGCACCCTCCCACCCCAGGAGAAGCCAGTGGGTGGTGTGTGGGGCTGGGGGCCGGTCTCCAGAGTAAATCCTCCCGCCATCACCAGGCCCTAGAGGCCTGCCCCCTCCCACCTGCCCAGTTTTCCATCCTGTTTCTCTTACCTCCTTTGTCAGGCGGCTGGGTCTTCACCTCCATGGCGCCCCGCGCTCTGCGATGCCGAGGTGCAGTATCCCGTACGGCACAGGCCTCTTCTAGGGGCAGAGACCAGAGCAGTTAGGGGTGGGCCGCAGCGATGGAGGGCCCGGGTTCTAGTCCCAGCTCTGAGGAAGCCGGGTGGTCCTGGGCAGGTGACGTCACCCCCCCACCGTTTTGTGTCCTCAACTGTGGAGGAGAGGTGTTAGCTACACCTCCCTCGTAGATCGCCTTCAAGGCCAACTGGATGCTTTACGGGGAGCGTGGCATGGCGCCCAGCAAGGCCGAGGCAGGGGCTCGTGGGGCCTGGGGCTCGTGATACGAAGTGCTGGGGCCCTGATGGTGAAGCTGGGTTACCCAGGCATCAGGGGGGCCTCTGGTGCCTGGCATCACGGCAGGCACTCCAGACGTGTGAGTCTTGGCCAGTACTGGTGCTCCTGGTTTTCTGGCCTGTTCTGAAGCCGTACGGCAGCCTGACAAGGCGCCTAAGAGCTGGACCTCGTCTGGCCGCCTCCTCCTTCACGGGACTGTGGTGGGGACGAGGCCGCCGGTTGCAGGACCCCTCACCACAGCCCGAGGGGGGAGGCCCGCGCTGCCACGGTGCTGCTGGGGAGGACCAGCCCTGGGATCAGGGACCCTGGCCTGAGCTGGGAAGGAAGGCCCAGCAGTGAGGCAGGGCCGTGGGCCAGTCTGTCCGGGGGGTGGAGAGGGGGTCCTGGCCCGCCAGGCACCGGCTGTGAGAGCTGCAGGGTCAGGATGGCTGTAGTTAATCACAACAAGCACACAGCAACCCGAAACTCAGATTTGAGATAAATGAATAATTTGTAGTGTAAGTATGTCCCAAACGCTGCATGGGACACGTCTATATTAAAAAATCTTTTTTTTTTTTTTTTTACTTATTTGGATAAATTCTTTTTTCTTTTTTTAAAAATGTAAGCTCTAGGGGCGCCTGGGTGGCTCAGTCGTTAAGCGTCTGCCTTCGGCTCAGGTCGTGATCCCAGGGTCCTGGGATCGAGCCCTGCATCGGGCTCCCTGCTCGGCGGGAAGCCTGCTTCTCCCTCTCCCACTCCCCCTGCTTGTGTTCCCTCTCTCGCTGTGTCTCTCTCTGTCAAATAAATAAATGAAATCTTTAAAAAATAAAATAAATGTTTTATGGGGCGCCTGGGTGGCTCAGTCGTGAAGCGTCTGCCTTCAGCTCAGGTCATGATCCCAGGGTCCTGGGATCGAGTCCCACATCGGGCTCCCTGCTCAGTGGGGAGCCTGCTTCTCCCTCTCCCACTCCCCCTGCTTGTGTTCCCTCTCTCGCTGTGTCTCTCTCTGTCAAATAAATAAATAAAATCTTAAAAAAAAAAAAGAGTTGCAGGCTCAAGGAACTGAGCCACCCAGGCGCCCCCTGAGTCAATTATTTGTAAGTATAATACGGCAAGTTCCATGCAACAGTTGGAACATATTTATACTAAAACCTAATTCACTATCTGAAATTCAAATTTAAGTGGGTGTCCTATAGTTTTTAGGAGTGCCCTATATTTTAAATTGGCAACACACAATTTGGGGGTTTTCAGCTTCTTTGCTTCCGTTTTGCCCACCATAAAAATGAGGCCATTAAATGATTGTACACGAGAACGCTATTGCCCAGTGATAATGGCAGTGCCTTAGCCAGAGTGCAGGCGGTTTCTGTGCTGGTTACAATGTACTTGTTCTTAGGGGTGAGGCCTCAGCCCCCCATTCTCCCATCTCCACCTTCCCTGCCTCACTGTCCCTGCTGCTGTGGTTTTCCAGCTGGGTCTCGATCCTGTCTCACCACATAGCCCTCCGGGACCAATCTAGCCTCTGGGCCTGGGCCAGCCCTTCCAGGAAAAGGCCAAGCTCAGTGCTAGGGGAGATCTGCGGGCCATAGATGCCACGCTCGGGAGCAGCAGGGGCACTGGCGCCCGGCTCCGGGGACCAGGGGTGGCTGGGCTATGGGGGCCGGGCACAGGCAGCAGCCACGGGACTGCCCTCTATGCTGAGGGTCTAAGTCAGCGAGGGCTTCCCCTCCATGGCAGCCGGCCCACTGGGCATGGGCTCGGTACGCTTGCCCGGAGTGTCTCCCTGGAGCCCGCACGGGTCAGGCTCCGGAGATGCCCAGGGACGGCCCTGGCGGAAGAGCGCGGGAATGAACAAACTTACGTGCATCAGATGCACCATGACCCCAGGCGCCAGCTGATCCCCTAACGGACTGGCGCATGCACACACACTCACTTCTACTCCCCTGGCTACTTTCCAAAACTCCGACCCACTCCCTAGGCCTGGGAGGCCTACCTGGAAGCACGTTCACACGCTGGCAAGTGCACACACGTGCTCAGCAGCCGCCTGGTGCACACAGGCTCACACACACACGGAGACACGCGCGTCTGCGGACGCCCGCCCCGAATCTCCAGGTCCCCCTCCAGGACACGCAGACGCCCTGCCCTCTCTCCCTGACACCCAGGGCCCGCGGGCTCTCACCCAGGGCCCATCCGCCTCCCCCCACACTCCACCCCTCCCACCCCCGGGTGCACCTTCCTGGCTGTGCACACCGAGCTCTCTCCCAGCCCCCACGCCAAGCAGGGCGCACTCATGCAGACTCACTGGAGGTTCCAAGGCTGGTTTGCTGGTGCCCTTCTCCGCAAACCTTCAGAAGTGTCCTCCCAGACACCCCCAAGTGCCTCCTTGGGGCTCCCCACTGCTCCACTTGTCCCAAACTCCCCTCAGGACTGCCCCCCAGTTTTTCCATGCTGCAGCTGGCCAAGTCACTAACATATCCTGCAGACCCCCATCTGACCTCTCTAGCACCCCGGGGCTGACCTGATGTCTCTGCCTCCCCCGTCAAACTAGCATGCGTCAAGTCTGACCATCCTGCCTCCCACAGGGACCCGTGCTCCCCAGCTGGTCCTGGAGAGAGTCCCCATAGGAGCGGTTCCAGCCTCCTCTTCCACTTCATTTTTCTCCCCAGCAGTGACAGCAGAAATCTTTGAGACCCAGGGGCTCAGAAAGACCTGAGAATGCCAGTGGCCCTCGGGGCTAGTACCTGGTCCTCAGCTTGACCCTGAGGCACGCCGGCCACACCAGTGGAGGGTTTGGGCATCAGAGTCCCCTGTGTCTCTCAGACTGGGTTGCTCAGTGCCAGTGCGTACCCTGCTGGGCGCCTCCTCCCAGACCCAGGGTGACAGGGTCTCCCTCAGCGCTTCGGCACTGAGCACAGCTGCCACGAGGAACCAGCAGCCACGGGACTGCCCTCTATGCCAGCGGTCTACATCAGCGAGGGCTTCCCCTCCATGGCAGCCGGCCCACCGGGCACGGGTTTGGTACGCTTGCCCCGAGGGTCTCCTTGGAGCCTGCACGGGTCAGGCTCCGGAGATGCCCAGGGACGGCCCTGGCGAAAGAGCGTGGGAATGAACAAACTTACGTGATCAAACAGAAACACACAAACTCACCTTTGAGTACAAACTCGCACAGTCCCAAACACACGCGTACAGTCACACAGATACAGACAAACTCACACCCCCATATTTAAACAAACACTAAGACGCACACTGAAATACACACACACTCACCCACCACACAGGGTCCGACGCACACAGACTCCTACAGACACAAACTCGCTCAACTACACAGACGCCCACAGCTGCCCCCAAACTTCCACACGGTCTTCAGCTGTGTCTTCAGCCACACAAGTTCACACAGTCACACGGATGCAGGCACATCAGACACATCCTAAGATACACACAACCTCACACACACAGTCACGTAACGCAGAGTGAGGCGCACAACCAAACCCAGCCACACCCAAAAGTCAGACACAAACTCACACCCAATCCCACACAGCCGGACAGAAAGTCACGACCCACCAAGATTCACAGACACACAGCCACACGCATTCGGCTACACCCGCTGGCAGACTCGGCGTGACACAAACTCGCAGCCTCACACAGATGAGACGCCAGCCACCCCAACTCAGAGCCCCCGAGGGGCGCAGCTGCAGTCGGACCCACTCGCACACCCACCGACTCGCAGACCAGCAGCACTTCGGCGGTGGGCACGGCGGTCAGAGAGGTGCCCACTCAGCGGGCAGAGCGAAGCCAGCCGCGCCCGCTCGGAAGCCGCGGTGGGCGGGATCCCGCGGGGACGGACGCGGCTCCACACGTGGCCCCCCGCCGAGTCAGTCCCTCGCGCCCGCGCACCCCCGGCCATGCGCCCTCCCTCGCCCACGCACCTGCTGGCGGGCCAGTCACTGGCTCGGAGCCACCGCCCCCAGACCCGCCGGCGTCCCAGTCCCGCAGGACGGGAATCCGGGTGGCGCGGACCGGACGGCTCCTTGCCGCCTTAGCGCGCAGCCCAGCCGCCCGCTGCCCCGGCAGATACGGACCCCCCAGCACACACACGCACTCCCTCGCGTGCCCTCGCTCCCCGCCCTCTGCCGCCGCGAACTCACCGCTCAGCGCACAGCCCGCGGTCTCGGGAGCTGAATGAGGCTGAGCGGAATTCAAACCCCGTCCCAAGAGCGCGCGAGCACCGCCCGCCAAACTACCAGTCCCAGAAGCCCCCGCGCCCGTCGCCCCCGCCGCTTCGTGTCCGCGAAGGAGCCCAAGCCAGGGGGGCGCGCGAGGACCGCTGGGAAATGTAGTCCCAAGGCCGATGGAGGCGTCCCAAGACCGCGCTTCAGGGGCGGGGGCAGCGGGGAGGTGGCAGGATGTCCCGTTCCTCCCACCCGGCAGAGGGGAAGATCTGGGTTCCCGCAGAGGGAAGGAGCTTTGGAGGAGGAGTGGACTTCCCGCTCTGCAGCCCCCCCCCCCCCCCCAGCCCTTACCTGGCGGCGGAGGTGCGGAAGGGTCCCTAGCGACCCCACCTCAAAATTTCCAGCATCCCTCCCCAGCCGGGGAGGCAAGATTAACGTGCACTCAATGAAAAGGAAATCAAACAAACAAAAAGCCCCTACATTCAACAAGATCTCAAGTTTTTGCAGCTTTTATATGAGAGGAACAAACTTTTAAAACCAGTTTCTTGTTTCTATTGGAGAAATTTGAGCACTGGGTATTTGGTGACATTAGGAAATTATTTTCTGGTGCCTGCGTGGCTTAATAGGCTAAGCATCAGATTCTTGGTTTCAGCTCAGGTTTTGATCTCAGGGTCCTGAGATGGAGCCCACCTGAGGCTCCCAGCTCAGCAAGGAGTCTGCTTGAAGATTCTCTCCCTTTGCCCCTCCCCCCATTTGTGCACGCAACCGCGCTCTCTCTCTCTCAACTAAATATTTTTTAAAATTTTTTAAAAATTTGGGCTCCTGGGTGGCTCAGATGGTTAAGCGTCTGCCTTCCGCTCAGGTCATGATCCCAGGGTCCTGGAATTGAGTCCCGCATCGGGGTCCCTGCTCCTTGGGAGCCTGTTTCTCCCTCTGCCTCTCTCTCTCTCTGATGAATGAATGAATGAATGAATGAATGAATGAATGAATAAATAAATAAATAAATAAAATCTTTAAAAAATTAAAAAAAATATTTTAGGTCTAATAGTGGTATTTGCAAGATTTATTTTTTCAGTATTTATCTTTGACAGATACATACTGGGACACAAGGACAGTTTAACATACACAAATCAATAAATGTGATACACAACATTAATAGGCTGAAAGATAAAAACCACATGATCATCTCAATAGGTGCAGAAAAAGCATTTGACAAAATTCAGTACCCTTTCATGATAAAAACTCTCAAAAACTGGGTATAGAAGGACCATACCACAATACAATAAAGGACGTATGCAGTAAGCCCATAGCTAACATATACTCAACCACGAGAGGTTGAAAGCTTTCCCTCTAAGATCAGGATGGAGACATGGATGTCCTCTCTTACCACTCCTATTCAATACAGTATTGGAAGCACTAGCCAGAGCAATTAAATAAGAACAAAATAACAAAAAGCATCCAAATCAGACAGAAAGACGTAAAATTGTCTGTGTGCAGATGATACAATCATATATAGAAAATACTAAGGACTCCACCCCAAAAATAACCTGTTAGAACTAATACACAAATTTAATAAAGTTGTACAATATAAAATCAGCATGCAAAAAATCAGTAGCATTTCCATATACTAATAAGGTACTATCCAATAAAAAAAGTGAAGAAATAATTCCATATACAATATAATCAAAAACAATAAAATACTGAGAAATAAGTTTAACAAAAGAGGCAAAAGATCTATACACTGAAACTATAAAACACTAATGAAAGGAATTGAAGATACACATAAATGGAAAGATATCCCATGTTCATAGGTTGGAAGAATTAATATTGTTAAATGTCCATCCAGCCAAAGCAATCCTCAGATTCAATGCAACCCCTATAAAAATTCCAATGGCATTTTCACAGAAATAGAAAAAAATCCTAAAATTCATATGATACCAAAAAAGACCCAAAAAACTCACACACTTTTTAGCAAGAAAAACAATGGTGAAAGCATGACACTTCCTGATTTAGCAATATATTACAAATCTACAGTAATAAAATCAGTATGATATTGTCATATGTCATATGGCATAAAAACAGACATAAAGACCAATGGAACAGAATAGAGAGCCAGAAATAAATCTATGCATCTTTGGTCAACTGATCTCCAATAAAAGTGCCAAGAATACACAATGGGATATGGATAAGCTCTTCAGTAAATGGTGCTAGGATAACTGGATATCCAAATGAAAAAGAATGAAATTGGACCCTTATCTCACACCATGTACAAAAATCAACTCAAAATGGATTAAAGACTGAAACATAAGATCTGACACCATAAAATTATTAGAAGAAAACAAGAGATGGGGCACCTGGGTGGCTCAGCCAGTTAAGTGTCTGACTCTTGGTTTAGGCTCAGGTCATGATCTTGGGTCCTGAGATCAAGGCCTCTGTCGGGTTCCCAGTGGGGCTCCGCACTCAGTGTGGAATCTGCTTGAGTTTCTTTTTCCTCCCTCTTTCTCCCCCTCTGCTCTTCCCCCTGCTTGCATGTGCACTCTCTCTCAAAAAAATAAATAAATAAAAAGAAAACAGGAGAAAATCTCCTTGACATTGGTCTTGGCAATGGTTTTTTTGGATATGACACCAAAACACAGGCAACAAAAGCAAAAATAAATAAGTGGGATTGCATCAAACTAAAAAACTGCACAGAAAGTAAACAATCAGCAGAGTGAAGAGAACCTATGGAATGGGAAAAAATATCTGTAAACCAAACATCTGACAAAGGGCTAATATGCAAAATATACAAGGAACTCATACAACTCAATGGTGAAAAAATAACCAATTTAAAAATGCGAAGATCCGAATACAGCTTTCTCAAACGAAGACATACACATGGTCAATAGGTATATGGAAAGGTGCTCAACATCATTAAATATTGGGAAAATGCAAATCAAAACCTCAATGAGATATCGCCTCATACCTGTTAGGATGGCTATTATCAAAAAGACAAAAGATAACAAGGATGTGGAGGAAGGAAACTCTTTTACACTGTTGGTGGGAATACAAACTAATATAGCCACTATGGAAAATAGAATGGAGTTCAACATTGCATGATCTCACTTATCTGTGGACTCTAAGTCAAACTCTGAGGTAGAGAATAGAATGGTGGTTGCCAGTGGCTGGGGGGTAGGGGAAATGAGATGTTAGGCAAAGGGTACACGTTTTCAGTTATGCAGGATGAATAAGTTTGGAGTTCTAATGTATAGCATGGTGACTACAGTTAGTAATATGGTATTGTATACTTGAAATACACTAAGAGAGTAGATCTTAAGTGTTCTCACTGCAAAATAAAATGGTACCCATGTGAGGTGATGGATATGTTATTTATCTTGATTGTGGTAATAATTTCACCCCATATATGAATATCAAAACATCACGTTGTACACCTTAAAATAATATATATACTTTTTATTTGTCAATCATCTCTCTTTAAAGCTGGAAACAAACAAACAGAAAGGAAACACACAGTGGGTATCTGGGGGGCACTGTGCAGCAGTGGTAGGAAGAGCAAAAGTAACTGCCATTTATGGAAGAGTAGCTGGGCTACATGTATTTCTTCTTTGAACCATGAAAATAACCCCATTTTACAAATGAGGAAATTAAGGTCAAAAGGTTTAAAATACATGCCCATGGTAACATAGTGGGCCAGTGACAAAGTGGGGATCCGATCCCAGGAAGAACGGATCCGGAGCCCAAGTACCTGTCTGCTCATTTAACTCACATTTACTGAGTATCTCTTATGTATGCCAGGCGCTAATCCAGGTGCTGAGAATACAGTAGAGAACCAGGTAGACATAGATCCCTGAATTTGTGGCATTTCCTTGCTAATGCAAAAGAGACAATTAAAAACTAAGTAAGGTAAGTAGTGAGTCAGATGGTGGAAAGTAATATTATAGAGAAAAATTAAACAGGGGATATGTGGTGGGTGGGACATGTGTTTGGGAAGTGCTGCAATTTCAGGGTGGCCAAGGAAAGTATCCCGAAAAAGATGGCATTTGAACAAAGCTCTGAAGGAGCCCAGAAAACAAGATCTTTGATATCTGGAGGAGATATGTTCCGGGCAAAGGGAGCAGCTTTGTACCCAGAGATGGGTACATGTGTAGTGTGTTTGAAGAGTAGTGAGGAAGACAGTGGCTGGACCCCAGGGCAGAAAACAGCTGACCCTAGGAGGCCTGTTGGGGATTTGGTTTGGGAGGACCCCTCCACCCCTCATTCCAGATCTGAGGGACTGGGTGGAGGTGGGTATCCCTTATGTCCAAAATCACTGTCTGGAAAAGTTTGTTGCTCTCCCCCAGGACTCTGCCCAGAGTAGGGGCAGGTAAGGATTCCTGTTCCCTCTCTCACAGGTTGGTTGAATGATAGTTGCAGACCACTGGGACTCCCTGCCCCTGGCTGAGACAGTGGGGAGAGAGGAAGACCTACACCCAGGGCTCACTGTGTCACCAGCACCCCCAACCATGGCCAAGACACAGAACATCCCCTTCCTGGGTGTTGGAGGTGGGATTGGAAATGTGTCCCTAGGTAAGTTTAATGCTCTGCTGTGTATGCCTGAAATTCTTAATAATTTTTTAACATGGGCTCCCACATTTTAATTTTGCAATAGGCCCCCCAAATTACATATCCTATCCTGGATGGATATTATTTCTGTTTTTATAAGAAATGAAAGCACAGAGCTGTTAAAAGAAGCAACTAGGAAGTGGGGAGCTGGGATTTGAAGCCAGAGTCAGCTTCACTCAAGGGTGGGTGCTCTTAACCACGGGTCTAGGCAACATCTGACCTTAGTAGACCCTTAGTAGACCTTCTTAGTAGAAGGAAAGCTTCTCCCCTTCTCACTCCAAAAAAAAAAAAAAAAAAAAACAAAGCAGGCAACACCCTTGTCCTTTCCTTCTTT